TGGCCTTCATATGTGGGATCCGAACCGGAGCCCTCTGGCATTCCAAGCCAGTTCTTAACCATCGCGCCACTCGGCCGGCCCTGCATCAAATTTAATGAGAAGTCATCTGTCATTCTTACAGCTGTTCTCCTCTATGTAATCAGTCTTTTTATTCGGCCTACTATTAAGATTTTCTCTATATCAGTAATTTGATTATGTTTGTCTTTATTTTGGTTTTATTTGTGTCATTTGGGTTATTTGATCTTCTATCAGAACATTTATAATTTTTATTCAATCTGATAAATTGTTTACTTTTATTTCTGCAAATATTTTTTCTGACCTACAATTTCTCTCTTTCCTTCATGATCTCAGAGTACATGAAAGTTAGTTTAATATTAGCCTCAAGGTCACTGAGACTGTCCATCATTTTAGCCTTTTTTAGTATTGTGTTTTAAATTGGTTGATTATTGTTATGTTTCAGATTTATTGATATATTTTATGCAGTGTTAAATAGTCTATTCAGCATCCAGCAAACTTCTCATTTCATATAATGTTTCAGTTTTAGAATTTCCATTTAGTTCTGATTTTTAGTTTCTATTTGTTTATTTAATTTTCTGTTTTGCTCCCTTATTATAGTCTGATTTGCCCTTAAATTTTGAATGTATTGATAAGAGCTCTTTTAAAATCCTTTTTTTGTTCATTCAATTTATCCAGCTATACTTGGGCCAGGTTCTATTGACTAATTTTTCTCTTGATTATGGGTCACGTTTATATGCTTCTGTGTACATCTAAAGTTTTGGATTGCAGACACACACATACTCCTACAAACACATAAGTGAAACTACTTTAGACTTCATAAAAACTAAATTCCAATCTTTATTACCTCACACTATTGATTTAGAAGAAAAAATAGAATTATTGGATCTTCAAGATCAAACCCTCTCAGTTTGCAAAGAAAAAGAAACAGAGAGCCGGCCAAGTGGCACGTGGGTTAGGAGTTGGCTTGGGACGCCAGCTCTGAGCCACAGGGCCCCGATTTGGATCACACATGAGGGCCAGTGATGCTGCGCCCTCTACAGCTAAGATGGTGAACAACAGCTTGACCTGGAGGTGGACTGCCATGAGTCGCCACCAGTGACAGTGTAGGCTGAAGTGGGGCTGGCCGGCAGCTGGCATGAGCTTTCATGAGCTGCCGTGAGCCGCCATGAGCGGCCGTCCACTGGACGGCAAGGGACTGCCTCTCCCGGGAAGAGCGCAGTGATAATACCAACATGGGCCAGTGAAGTGACGTCCTCCACAACTAGACTGAAGAACAAAAGGACAGCAACTTGTCTGTTCCCTTTCCCCGATTCCCCAATAATAAAATCTTAAAAAAAAAGAAAAAGAAAATGAAAGATGGTTTTTTCTACCTTCTGATTACCTACAAACAAACACATTTGAATTCTAAAGCGTGAATACACACAAAGCAATATATCTGGAAGACTTCTAAGCAAACTAATAGTAGGATGAATCTACCTCTAAAGTACAGTACAAGGTAGAGTATATGTCAATTATATCTCAATAAAGCTGGGATGGGGGGAAGAATACAAGGTAGAGCCTACATGTTTTAATGATGCTTGTCTTAAGGATTGAACTTTTGAAAAAGAACCAGGGTACTTTTGAAATTCACAGTCATTTTTTAAAAATGGCCCCACTATAAATTTAATGAAACTGCAAGTTATAAAGGATCATTTATTGTAAGATGCCATTTTACTATTAAAATAGCCACAGCTCTATGTACATGGTGGAATGATTAAATGTCTTACCTTTAATGGTCATGTAAACAAAAGCTTTTTTCAGATTATTACTTAATATAGAATCCAGTCTTCTTAGGTATATTTAATGACATTTCAAGGGACCTTGCTATGAAAGACCGGAGGAAAGCATGGGGAAAAAATTTCATACCACAAGAAAATTTCATATAAGGATTATATCATTTGAAATTTATAGTAAAAAACCCCTGTGCAGAAGCACACAAACACACACACATGCACACAAATGCAGTGCATACAAAAGGACAGAATGAATACACTGATATATCAATTGAGTTTATGTTATTGAGAGTATCCTCTTTTTCCTGTTTTATAATTGCTCAATTTATGATTTATTTGTCAGATGCATATATTATCATTAGAATTTGATCAACAACAAGAGAAATTTATGAGTAACCATTATCCAATGCTGAGTGAAAAAACAATAACACAAAACTCCACCTATAGTATAACCAGGATATAATTAAAGAAAATAAATAATGATGTGTTTATATGTGGATTAATCTTTTTGTGTTTCAATCATACTGTGAGCAAATAGAGAAGTTTATTGGTCAGCAGTAGGCTTTATTTATTTGATTAAATGATATCAGCTCTCATGAAGAATGGCATATCTTGTTTACAATTGTTGAACACATGTACCCATTAAGCTGTCCATATTGGTTCCCTTGGATTAGGTTGATTTTGGAAGAAGTGTTTCTATATGTCTTTCAGAGATTCCTGTATTCTGCAAGATTCTTCACAATGTTTATATTATATTATAATTCAATAGCAAATCCAGAATAAATGTGTGCACAAAAAATTATTGGTGACACCTTGCTGTGTTGACCTCATGAGACCTGCAAAATCTATCTCTGAGCATACACAGCAGGAGGATTGAAAATACAACCATATTTTACAAGTCCTTGTCTGAGCTGGCGTTTCCTGTGATTTCCTTGCACTTCTTTATAAATGGCTATTTTACCTGGACTTATTAAGGACATGTCTAATTTTGAGAAATTCCAAACATAAGAGGCTACTCTTTAAAAAATAACCAGTATATCAAAGAATATTTAATGAAGTTTGGGAAGTACTCTAGCTACCATAAGTGCAGAAAACATATTTCTACACCAGAGTTATGAAGAAATTTGAATTTTATTTTTAAAAAATTATTAGTATATTGTATAAGTACGAGGTGAGAATGATACTTTAATAGTATTCTAATTGGGATTGAGGTACCATTATTTTTGGTCTTATGATTTCTCAAAATTTGAACAGTTTGCCTGCAGCAGGTATTTCTTTCTTATATCTCCTGGATAAAACGACTCTTCCTATAGGAGAATAAAGAAATTCCAAGTTCTCAAAAAATATATATATTGTATGAGAATATGGAAATTGCATAAGATAATGATGAAGGTTTTGTTCAAAACTACCTTCAGTATATATTCAATTTTGTTTAAAGAGAAATAAACATACATATTAGTACATTCATATATATCCATCTGTGTACACATGTGAAAAAATTATGTATTTTTAATCATGGTGATTATTATAATAAAAATTCATTAAACTTCACTCAAATTTCACCATGTCAATACTCGTATATACATGTGTGTGAGTCTGTGTGTGTATGCCTGTATGTATGTATGTATATATGTGTATATATATATACATATATGTATATATATACTAATATTTAGCTTAACACACAAAAAAGTTACATTAAAATAGGATTTGTTAACATGTCATGGTTTGGGTCATATTTTCACTTCTTTCCTGGGCAATTTGTCATTATTATGAAAATTTTGCAAGCCTTAAGTTTCAGTAAATAAATATAAAGGGAATCATTGATGAAATATTATTGATGACTATAAAAAATGTGAATGCTTTCACCTTGAAGCCTTCAAATCATTATACCTGAAGAGGGCATCACAGGCATTAAATTTCCGGTCATTAACTAATGTTTTATGAACTGAACATTTCTTCAGAGATCCTAAGATTTTTAATGAATATGGGACTCAAGAACCTCTTTGACAATATTTTATTTCTATAAATGAGGCCTTGCAAATTTTTCATGCAAATATGATCCAAATCATGACATACAAGTAAATCTCATTTTAATGCAAACTTACTGTTGTGTAGGAAGCTAAATATACTCATTTGTATGTGTATATTGAAATGAATGCATGAGTACATAGAAAGTGAGTTTGTACATGTATGTTAAAACATAAAACCAATGTTTATCAGTGGTACTCACAGCACCATGTCTTAGTTATTATACTTATGAGAAAATGCTGTATGGTCTCAAAGACATAATCAGTGACTCACAAATACAAAATAAAGTCATAAGAATTCACTGAAAGTCCTATAATGACTTAAGGTTGTGCTTGTGTTCCAATGTTAAATGATGAAACCATGAGGCTAAATCATGTCCACTCTGACTGGAATTTATACATATTTGAGTATGTGTATCATTCCAGGTGGGCACTATAAAGCAGAGAGTCTTGAGAACTATCTAGACACTTACTTAGGGTTCTAGACAAATAGCTGTTTTTTCCTAAATACACCAAGGCCTAGCGCCCACGTCAGAAAATGGAAGAAGACTTCCAGGGAACCTGGGAGCAAGGACAAGAATCACAGGTACTGGTACCTACATTTGCACTTCTCCACGCCCTTAGGTGCAACCATTTTCTTTTCCTCTTAGGCCTGGATCCTTGAGGTTTGCACCCTGATATCCCAACACAATTTGTTATCAAAAGAAAACACTGCAGATATAATGCTGAGTGAAGAAAAAGTAGAACCTGTAAGAGTAGGTAAGTGGAAATTGAGTTCTTGAACCGAAAAGATAAGTGAGAGTGTAGGTTTAGTCCCCAGTTTGATTGCAGATGGAAACCAAAAGCAAAAATCACAATAGTGTGAGCCGGTTTCTTTAAACCGGGCAAGCGGCAAGGCAGTCATATTTCCTGCCACTTTTGTCTCTTGGTCGCACTTTTTTCACACCAGATGGGCGGGAGAAGAAGGCACTAGGGCAGCGTTAGATTGAATTTCTGGAGCAACACTGTCATCGTGAGGAAATATCTACAAAAACCCCCAAAGCTTTCTCTGAAACGACTTTCATTTTGGAAAGATCCATTCTGTGGGGCGGCTGACTGTGCTGGGATAGAAGCCGGAGCTCAGTGCTTCCTCCAAAGGGCTCCCTGGAGCTCCGGACAAAGGTGAGGTCCAGGTGCAGGAGGTGGGGAGGCAGGACACCCTGCGGCTGCCAGGAAGTCCGGCCCAGGAAGTCGTCGGACGGGTTCTTGGTATTCTCTCAGCGTGGGCGGGACCACAGGAAACGACTAACAGACACAGTTCTGGGCCTGCAGGTATTTGTCTCTCTTCTAGCCAGAGGACAGGACAATTCCTGATGGTTATAGCAGGACACAATGTGTTTGCTGGAGCTCTCAGTGGCACCCAAATTGGAGCTGAGAGAGCCTGAAGAGAAGTGGAACCACCTTGCCACGATAAGAGAGGTTAGCACTTCTGCTAGATCACACTTGCCACAAAAAGATGGGAACCAAATTCAAGTGAAGAGGATTGAAGATGAACCCAACATTTTAAAAGTCCTTGTTTGCCAGAAGTGAACCTGTGACCTCGCTTCATTTCTTCATACATGGCTGTTGTAGCAGGTACATTGTAAAGAAGCATGATTGTTTCTAAAAATGCAAAAACAGGTGGCAAAATTTTAAAACATCTCAGAATTCCAAAAAATATTTAATGATGTTTTTAAAAGCATTCAAGCTATAAGGTATGAAAACATGTTTTAATGCTCAAAGGAGAAGGGAATTCAAGCCTTGTTTTTTAAACGTATTTATATGTGCAAAGTGAATAGATAAGAATGCATGGCAAAGACTTTTTTTTATTAGAAATGCAACTTCTTTTATTATATTTTTTTAATTATTTCTTTTTTCAGTTACAGTTGACATTCAATATTATTTTATATTAATTTCAGGTATATAGCATAATGGCCAGACATTTTTTAAGTGTTTATTTCTTCTCTGATTGAGGTACCATTTGTTTTTTACTGTATAATTTCTCAAAATTTGAATGATTTTCCAGAAGCAGGTGAAACTTTTGTAATTTTTTGGAGTAGAAAAGTGTTCTAGATTAAAATATAAAAACATTTGTAAGCACTCAAAAACATACTGATAATGCAAGTATGCAAATATTATAAGGTACTGCTGAAGACTGCAAAACTACACCCAGTATGCATCCAGTTAGTCCTAAAGAGAAGCAAACCTGTGTGTGTGTGTGTACATTTATTTATATATATATAATATATATGTGGATATATATAAACATTTTTAAAAGCTACATATTTAGAATCATGGTCAGTGTTATAGTGAGTATGCTTTTCAACTTGAAATTCTCAGTTGACATATTTATATCCATATTTATTTTTATATTTATTTATATTTATAATAAAAGGAGACATTAATGAAATTATAGCTGCATGTGAAGGGTATGAGTGCATCCATCTTAAAGTTTTCTTAGGGTACACATCTGGGTGACTGAATTTGAAAGATACCAATTTCAACCTTCATATATTGAATGCCATTTTCTGTCTTTACACTTTTTAAAGAAAATTTTAGGATTAAAAATTGGTGTAAATGTTGAGAAATATAAAAAAATAAGCCTTAATGTTCTGGGGCATGAATATTTAGTGCCTGTTCCAATATTAGTTTTAAAGTATACATTATCATATTAATGATTAAGTAAGGCAAGCCTCAAAATCAAGATTCTTGAGTTATAATAGGCATTGTAGGTATTTTATCTCCTGTGTGTGAATAAAAAAGATTAAGTGAGAACCTAATTAATATCCTTTAATTAATGGGGAAATCAAGTCGTTTTTTGCAAATGTTTTATTGTCTAAAATCCAGGTCTTGCAAATGTTTCATGATAATTTCAATCTACCCAGGAATCAGAAGTGAAAATTTTGGATTTAAAATATGATGCATATATACATCCAATTTAATTGTAAATTTATCATACTTTATTACCATAAATATAGTGCTATGTGTGTGTGTTGAAAATGAGAGTAAATATGCAAAAGGTTGTCAGTACTTAATATAATATTTTATGACAGCGCTTTTACTTTTGATCAGCATATGATTATTGCTGAATCTTTGGCAAGCACATCTTAGTTACTAATGGGAAAATGGTTTTAAGACTGATCTCTAAGGGATAAATGGTAATACACACACCTACTCTCCCAATAAAGTCATAGTAAAGGAATTGAAGGCCATTTCATGACATGGGAAAGTGCTTGTGTTCCAAATGGTAAATGAAAGCATGAGGCAAAGCTCTGAGTTACCTCTAATTGGAATTTGTACATCCTGCCATGTGCTGCATTGTATTGTGATGAGAGCTGTGTGGGCCCTCCTCTTAGGGCCCTAGTCAAATGGCTGCCAACAATTCAAACAAAGGCCTAGCTTTTTACCTAGAAAAATGTAGAATTCTTGAGAATGGTAGAGATGAGCCAAGCAAGGGCACATGGACTAGTAACTAGAGATTCCCTCCTAGTTGAATTCCCAAACATTTTCTTTTTCTAACTGGTCTTGATCCTTGAGACTTGCCCCAGAAGTGGACAACTTGATCATTTGTGAAAATGCTGAAGATATAATGCTGAGTGAACAACAACAGAAGTGTGAAGACTAGGCTTAGTGGAAACTGAATTCTTGCAAAGATAAGATGCCTGATAAGAGCGGGTAGTTTTAGGCCTCACTATGATTTCAGATGAAAACCAAAGCAAAAAGGCAGCAGTATGCGCAGGTTTTCTCAAACTCAAGATGCAAGGCAGCCATATTTCCTGCCGCCTTTGCCTCTTGGGAGCATTTTTTTCAAACAGGATGGGCAGGGCAAGGAGGCCTGTGGGGGTGGGGAGAAAGTGATTGTTGGTATTGCTGGTGTACTACTACTGCCATCTTGCGGAAATAGTTTTAAAATGAACTACACCATTATCGCTTTTTTTTTCGTACTACTACTGCCATCTTGAGGAAATAGTTTTAAAATGAACTGCACCATTATCGCTTTTTTTTCCGTGAGGACTTTCTGTTCAGAAAGGTCCATTCTGTGGAGAAGTTGAGCAGGCCATGGCCCCACATTGGACCTTCCTGGGTGTTCTGAGTTATTCCTAGAGCCCTGGCAAATGACTTAATGCTGGCATTACAGAGGTGAGGTCCAGGTATAGTAGCTGGCCAGTGGGGAGGCAAGATTAAGCCATTAGCTACCCGGAAGTCCTGGCACAGGAAGCTGTGGGGTGGAGTTTTGGTGTCCTCCCAGAGGGCTGACTAGAGGAAGCCTCTAGCAGCTCAGTTAAGAAAGGTCAATAGCAATTAGCCAAACTCAAGCCAAAAGAGAAAAAAAAGAGTTGCGGGTCGGGGAGAAGATACAGAATACCAAAAGCTGGAAAACAATGTGAAATGGTCTAACGTATATTTAATTGGAATCACCGAAGGAAAAAGGGAGAAATGTTTAATTAAAAATAATGACAAAGAATTTAAAAAAATAAGAAACCTCAAACCACAAATCTAATAAGCTTAGAAAATTTCAAGTAAACACACACTCATACACATACAAAAAGACACATCAATAGTCAAAATCTTGAAAACTAAAGATAAAGAGAAAATCTAGAGGACAGCTGGCCACAAAAGACAAAATATTCCCTGGAAAGGAACAAATATAAAATGTATAGCAGATTTGTCAGACATTATTCACAGTATAAAGAAATGGAGAGGCACCTTAACAGTAATCAAAACAACAAAACAAAAATGAAATGATTAAGCCAGAATTTTATGCCATAAAAGATATCTTTTAAAATAAGGAAAAGTACTTTTTCAGACAAACAAAAGCTAAGAGAATTAATTCTCAGCACACTTTCTCTACAATAGATATTAAAGAAAACTCTTCAGGCAGTAGGAATGTGATAATGAGACAGTCACCTGGGATTGACACAAAGAATTGGAGACCTATAGAAATTGTTGAAAGTAAAGTAAATACAAAAGACATTTTTTTTCTTATTTCTAATTGTTTTAAAATGTATTTGGCTGGCTGTACTAAATAGTAGTATACAAAAAAAGTAAGATGACAGTGCAAAAGATGGGAAGCAAAAGCATTGTTGTCATAAGGTTCTTACACAGCAGATTTGAAATCACACTGGGATTAATTACATGCATACATTTTTATTTATTTATTTATTTATTTTCTATTTTTTTTTAAAATTTTTTTATTGTTAGTTTCAGGTGTACAGAACCATGCAATAGTTACCCTTTTCACCCTCACAAAGTAACAACCCCCCTCCCCCCATCCACTG